GAGAGAGAGAGAGAGAGAGAGAGAGAGAGAGAGAGATCTAGTCAAATGACTTGATAAAATGATAATTACCTTTTTCAATGATATCACAAAGACTAGTATCGGTTACATCTGTAGGACCAGCGGTTTGTCCCTCAAGTCTATCGATGAAGTATTTGATACAATCGTAAATATAAATGTATTGATCCTATGGTTTGGCATTCATTACAAGGAAACAAAAAATATATAATTAATTATATGATTTTCAAAGTCAAGAGTCGTGTGAATAGTAAGCAATGGATGGGAAGAGATATAAGAGATAATAGAAAATGATAAGTTTAGTGTTTGTCATGTCTTTTCCCATTACCTCTGTCTGAACCATATTTGGTCGACACCTTCTCATATCGCATACAGTGTTGAACACATCGATAGTTAGGTCTTTGGGCACCTGAACCCCACCCCCGCTATCGGGGCAATGCTTTAACATCTCCATAATCCGGTCCACGGCTATGAATGTGCCGCTACGGCCCACACCCGCACTGGTAGTCAAAATGAACAAAACCACAAATTACATTAATGTCATATTAAAGAGTGTCAGGATGATTTATATCGGTTTTAATAACTAGATAATTTTTACAACTAATTTAAAACAGCACATGCTATTGTAGAGTAGGTATTGTCTAGTAAATTATACTGCATATACAAATAACTATATACAAATAAATTACTGTATTAATTATATGAACGGTAATTGTATGTGGGAACTTCTCACGAATTCAATGCACTAGGGTTATAATAATCATTACATATTATTACATAAGCCTGGGTTAAAGCAATGACATTTAAACGTGGCTACAAATTGCCATTTCCTTGACATAGAGCGATTAATATAAAAAACATAATAAAATTCCCGTTAAACCAATTTGAATCAATAATTATATGCATAAAGATCAATTGACTGGCATATAAATTATCTTAATGGCTCACATTGTATGTGCCTAACAATCTATGACAATCAATAAATTTTCTATAAGATAATACATGTATAATAAAAAATAACACAAATCACTGAATAGTCTATAAATATTTTTCAATGGAAGAAATAATTCATTGATTTTCAATTATTGTCCACAAAGAAAAAAGTCCACATTTTTTGCACACAATTACTTTTTTTGTGCACATTATTTGATTGATACGTATATTTCGATTATATACAGTCTATACACGCCATATAAACACATGTATGTAATAAATGGGATCCTGACCTGCAGTGAACCAAAATGGGTGACCGGGCGACGACACCCTCCCCCTCCACCAGTCCATTATCTGCCACCACATCTTCGCCGACCACTACTTCCCTATCACTGGTGGCAGTCTTGTTATGTGTCTTTCTTTTAGCCGCCATCGACAACAACAATGTTTTGTATTGTTTTCGTATGATTTCAATCAAATGGATGAGCGAATAGGGATTCTGAGGGCACCCGAAATCAGGCCATTGTATGTAATGGTATTGCGTTAGCAAATGATGCGAATCGCCCTTTTCATTACAAAATTACATAGGATATAATATTAGGGTTTATTTATAAGTTCATTTGTGTGTGATTTTTATTCCAGCAACATGTATTTTTAACCACTATTCTGATATGAATAATGTGGTTTATAGGATCGTTCTGCCCCCCTCCCCCTCTCCCCTCCCCCCTCCCCCCACCCTATGGGA